AAAGCTATGAGATCACTTAAAATAACATTTTCCTTTTTTATACACAAGAAAGACAATATATGTGTCTATTTTAGGAAATTATGTTGTTATAATCGGAGACACAATCGCAAAATTGTTACTTCATCATGAAGAGTTGAAAACTAATTCGGAGCAGATTTTAACTTCAAAACCAGGACACATTGTAGTTTCTAACCTGTTCGTATTAAGGTTGCCTACTTGTCTGTTTGCTTTCGATGTATCGACGAGTTCCACAGCGAAAGCCAGTTGCTTTAAACCTAGTCTATCTACATATAGGCTAACCTCATTGTTCCTGTTTAACATATGGCTTGTGATAAATTTTTCTACATGTTTATGTCACTCATAGTCCATTCCCCAAATTGAATTTTTTAAAGCATATTTTTACCTCTTCAGTTAGATAATGTTACCTCCCTGATTTTTACATATTCAATCTTGTTCTTCTGCTAGTCTTGATATAAGTTCACATGTGTATGAAAACAGTGTTCTACTGTATGAATGAAATGTACAAAGGAAGTAACCAACAAAGTTATAATATAGAATGCTACTTCAAGTCAAACTGTCCACCCAGCGTCTAATTAATAAATTAATATGACTCAAGTTTAGTATACAAATCAGACTCATGTACTGCTACGTGGGGTTTGCTTGGAACTGAACATTCCTACTCTTGTGTGAACACTATTACCTGCTGACATAACTTGTCAAAACCGCCCAATCGTCGGTATACATTGGAGTGCGATGTTGAGTGATTCTTCCCTACAGTGTGTTAAATGATTACGCACAAGTTGACCTTAAAAGCGAGCTATGTTGCAACCTAAACTGTGAAGCACCATTTCTACTTTGAAAATTTCACTTAAGGGTTTATTGTTTGGGTTGATGCCCAAGTGCTTTACATTGGTATGTGTGTGTCATTCGCACTTAAATCCTACCCCCGCATGATTCATCGATTGGGCTAGTTAGCAGCATTTGACATAAAGCTTTTAGCTGTGACATCTAACTCATCTGTTTTAACTGGCAGTCTCAGTCGCATAGCTTAATCATTCCGATCCAATCATAGTGTACTTTGACTAACTTCTGCTAACGATAACCAAAGATTGACTACACAGAACTAGAAGAAGGAATGGGCAAATGCTTAAAATATAGTTCAGTCGAATTAATTCGTATATAACAGGATAATTGCCAGTCTTCATGGGAAAGGTATGCTCGGTTGCTGGTTGAGCAAGCTAATGAGATATACTAAACTCATTGTGTTGTTCCAAAAACTTATTGCATATATCTGGGGAACAACCTCGTTTTCAGTGATACATCATCAGGCTAAAGACGTCACATTTGTATCGCACATTTTACAGGGGAATCATTAAAGGGGTGAACAGGGAACGGGTGGTTAATGAGGTCAGTCGGTTCAACGCTACGCTGTAATCAAATATCCACTCGAAAAATGGGTCTTGACAGGCTAATAAGGTGTGGTGATCACCAAGGCAGATCAAAAGCCTGAACAAAACGTTTTTGGGCGCGTACGGGTGGGTTGCATAGGTGAATTCTAATGGCTACAACTGTGGACAAAATCTTACGCCCCACGTTCTGTTCAGGCTTTGGATCTGTCTTAGCAAACCCCACACCCTATTAGTTTGTCAAGGTCAACTATTCGGGTGGGTACTTGAATACAGCGTGACATTGAACCGACTAACCTCATCAACCGCCCGTTCCCCGTTTACCCCTTAATGATTCCTCTGTAAAATTTGTGGTAAAAATATGCTGTATGTGGCCTGATAATAAATCACTAAAAACAAACTTGTTCGTTACACAGTAGTTTTCATGACTACGCTGGGAATTTTCGCTCGATTATTGCGATGTCTGGGTTATTTCAGTTACGTGTCAATATGAACTGCCCAATATACTTGAAACTCAAACTACCAATCGAAGGATGATCAGGAGGGTGTATTCTAGGAGACCTACTGGCTGCCCCGTGAAAAATTATCACCACTTACTTTATGACGAAATATACAACTTAATCTGCTTACAACTGCTGTTATACACAATAAGACGAACATGATTTCCTGGTGACAATCTACGTTTTACCAAAGAATCCGACATTTACTGGTTCTAAAGTTGAAATATACTGATTTGTGAACGCTTCTTGTTGGGCAATAACTACTTTTTAACTCGAAACCAATATTGGTTTACTGTGCAATACTTGGTTCCGAGTATGTCGCGTCGGTATGTTGTACGACCATCCACTTCATTTGCTACACAAGAATTACACCTTTTATTGGTTAACACAAGTTAACACAACCGTCTTCATGTGCGTAACTAGGTGATTCTCCGAAGCTTGATTACTGATCACACTGTTTTAACTTGTTAGTTGAGGATAGAAGAATGCATGTACCAGTAGGTCAGTTTATGTGAGCCTGACCGGACACATAACTTAAGATTAGGGGTGCTGCGACTTCCATCTTTTGAGTAACCGGTGGCCAAAAATAGTAGCTAATAACGGTTACATTGTGCCCGAAATAGAGGATTATGGGTAAAAGTTAATGCGTGTGATCGAAAAGCAATTGTTTTAATCTTGACAGTCGAAAAATACCGCATTACAACGTTAAAAGTTAGCGCTGGTTTGGGCCCATAATGACTCGAATGAAATCGCCAGAAAGTGACAATTAGTTGTCTGATCACCTGAACAGGCGAGTGAAACTCGTCGTGAGGCAAGCAACGCAATTTTCCGTACAGGTTCTCTAATTAACCTGTTGAACTTCCTAATTACGGATCTAGGAGAAGTGTCAGTCTGACTTATTCTACTTTAAAGCACAATGTGTCTCAAAGTCGGCCACCACCTGTACCGAGATTCCAGCAATAGTGCGAAATACAAAAACAGCTGTGCGTATTCAGTCAAAGTCCGACACATACAAGAAACCAAGCTCTATCAGCAATTCCCGTTGACTTTTTGGTAAGAAACTTGAACAATAGCACTGCCACAACCACACAAGTATTATTACGCAATTCTGTGCAAAGCAGCATGTTAAAAACTCGACAACGACAGCTGTACTTCAGCAAGTCATCCGCGCAATATCTTATCTGTGAAATGATCCAACTTCCCTGTTCTGGATTTAGTATGGTTCACTGTTTTAATGCAAACCCAACCACCACTGATTACACAATTCCCTCCATATGTGAAGTATCACTTCTACTGTCAACTCGTATTTTTTGACAGGACTTGGTAAACTGTATTATTAAATTTTCATATTGGACACCATTCTTCTTATATTACTGAAATAAATATAAGCATCCAACAATTATAAATACCTATAGTTAAATTTCCACACGTCTAACAACGGAATTAATACAGGAGATAATTTCGGAAGTTTGTTTCTAATTATGGCATAGCGCATGATTCCAATGCAAAATGCCCAACTTCCAGGAAAGTTGAAAAACCTTTCGAAATCGTGCTGTCTTGGGTGTTCATGTCAACCAGAATTTCGAAGGGCATTCTAAGTTATTTTTTGGATTGAAGAAAAATAGAAAATGTAAACTCTCCATGTTTTCATTTGAAACTAATCAATAGCAGGTAATAGGTTATAAAATATGCAAGGTAATAACCAAAAAATTAGAATATGCCGTAAACATGAGCGCTAACGGGGTATGAACAAACCACACATTAATTGCGTGTGAATCACATGTCGAGTGTTGAATATGTGGATGATGGGATTAGCTCACAATGCAAGCGACTGTCATTTTGATATCTACTCAGTCTGTCTCAACTTGTTTAGCCAACGCAACGGCAAAAAACGGCTATGATTTGTCGGTTTGAATGTGAGCGTTATGAAACTTATGATCAACTTACAATCTTGTGACTAAAATCAGTGCAAACCAAAATCCTCAAAATATACTGTGACCGTCCCATAAAAATTGGGTGCAAAGATTACGTACCAAGCTTAATTCTCCTTTTTGATTACTGATGAGTAGTGGAGGATTCTGATTTTCTATATAGATTGAACATCACCCACAATTAATAGCAGCTGTCGCGTTCCCATATACTTCCCAGTCGGCCCCTTTCGAACGGCAAAAGCACTAGACTCGAGTTTCGCTTTCATTAGATCTCGTCAGTGGTAAATGTCCTTGCCACGGCCGTAACTAGAACTTTGGCCACGCTTCCATGAGGCAACCGTGTTGACCACTGCACCAATTATCTCACATTAGACACGACCAATTTATCATACGTGGAATCTCAACCACTTTTGCCGGTGAGCAATGATCAAGTTGCCCGTCCGCCTCGACGACTCCATTGACTAGGACTTCCGTCCAAGTTGAAATCACAGAAGCCACTGAGTTGTTGAGCGGTATTTTACTTACTAATGAGTAGTAGGGGATTTTGGTTTTCTCACACAGATTGAATATCACCCACGATTGATCGCAGCTGTCGTATTCTTTCTCGTTTTGACCAATAACAAAACTGAAGACAGGCGATTTAAATTTTTCAGGTAGTTTATATGACGTTCTAGCCACCTAGAATATTCGGACGGAAATCAGCACCCAGTATCACACATTCGGAAGTTTCGTTCGCAAACCAGTTAGCTTGTAATCGAAGCAGACAGCCGTGCCACGGTTGAACATCTTGCCAAGTATTATGTCGAGTGCTATATTATCTATAGTTTACTAGTCATTAAATATTGGCAGAAACAATGTTGGATTGATAAAGTTTCGTATGCCCACTGACGACGGCATAACTTGCTGACAAAAGTAACATTTTCAAGTTGGCATAAACGGTTGTATGAAACCACAAGCTGGTCCACTGAAACACTTGGTCATAAAATAGGCTTAGCATGTCTTGTCCAGCGCGTGATATTCTTGCGTCGCCTGCAAGTTTAGACTGTTCTTACTGACAAATGTCTCAAGCTGGAAACTGCATCTTACATGGCAGCGTGTCGTCGTTTACGTTTTGATAATTAATGGTTATGGAATTTTAGATGAGATTCAATTGTGAACAGTCAGAGCTTCGGCTGGATTCGAACCAGCGACAGAAACAACATGCCTCAACGCGGCAGGCGCTCTACCAGCTGAGTAACGAAGCCACGCCAGGAGCTCAGAACGTTTACATTTTGACTTGGTTACCCACCCGTCCCACTGTCTCTTATCAATCCCCCAAATGATCTAAGTAGTCGACTGCCCCGGCAGGATTTCTCGAACAGCTCACGTTGGAATCCACCAACGTCACTGCTGAACATAGAAATTGTAGTACCTATATTTTTTGATATGTTTACAATTTTAGATGAGACCTAATTGCGAAAAGCCACGGCTTCGGCTGGATTCGTACCAACGACAGAAATCCTGCCGAGGCAATCGATCCCCTGGATCATTTGATGGATTCCATATGAAACAGTGTGACGGAGGATAACCGAGTCCATATGTGAAATTCGCAAGCTCCTGGCGTGGCTTTGTAGCTCAGCTGGTAGAGTGCTTGCTGCTTTGAGGCATACCGTTTCTGCCGCTGGTTCGAATCCAGCCGAGGCCATTAGTTTTAACATTTGAGTCTCATTTAAAATCATAAATCTGTCAAACTACTTAGTAGTTTATTGAATTTCCCACGTAGCTATTTAGATGGCATGATAGTCTCATACTTTTAATTTTACTTCCAGGGACGTGAACTGTTAAGTATTCTTTACCATTCGCTTAGGCCCATGAGGGCCCAATAATTCGTATACGTATAACCCAACCACAACAAAGTAGCAGAACAGTAGGAGTCAATGTCAGGAGTAACGACCAGTATTAGCCAATCTGAGACTATGACAAGTTGCAACCAAATTGATTAAACTCATCATTCGAACAGTTGGACTAAAACTGAGGTGACTGACAGGCAACGTCAACTTTAATTAAACTCAGTCAACACTCCAAGGATCTAAATGTGTTACCAAGATATAGGTGCGGACCTCGTTTCACCGTTGCTTATTGCTTCAACTTTAACGTAAATTTGAAAATAAACTCACTTTGGTGTAAACTGCGCGTGCAGTCATTTCTGTGTCTAAAAATGCGGCAATCATTCCAAACAACCCGAAGGCCAAGCAAAAATCAGCCATTCGGCGCCGCCGCTCAAGCAAGTATTGACGACGACCAAGATGATAGCCGATTCCTTTAGTGAAACGTTCGGTCGGTCGACGGGCTCTCTTGGTTCGCAAATCAGGTTTCGTGTCAAGCTTGGACCGTTTGTACACGAACGGAAACACTTCCGCAGAGCTAGGTCCTATGTTGGCATGAACGTCATCTTGTGTGTCTGAGTTTACCGATGAATTCTCTGTATCTTGCCTGACCGACATAGTTCGTGATCGAGGTGCTGTTGGACCAATGTTGGCTTTAGACAGAAATGGTGTATCATCTCTTTGTTCACTAAAAAGATTTTTTGTGAAAAGGAAGCAGGTATTAGTTGGTTCAACAAAACGCATCACAGCAAAGTTGTCACACAGTTTAAATTTTAGGCGATGATGAACACAACTCCAGAAAGTGGTTGAAGGTTGAAATATGTGGCTGCATCAAGTGTGACGTGTGCGTAGTTTTGTTGCTGTAAAATATTTGACTATCAGTTAGAAATCAGCCCAAATTTTAGATTTTTGGAATATAGCTTTGTTACTACACGGATCCATAAAACCCTTATCAGTTGATAAGATCAGCATGGGCATGAATTAGAAACCAGTCTTGTCTTATAGAGCTGATGAGTAGCCGGGGATTTGGTTTCTTTCACGTAGAACAGCACCCATATTCAATCGTAGCCTTCACATTCAGACAGACGTTTCAGCCAGCACGTGCCGGAACAAAGAAGCACTGAACTGGTGCTCACCAGTCGTGCACGGCCTGGTTAGAATATCAGCCATGTATTAACAAAACAACATGGTTGGTCATTAACGTTGGACACGACCGAATTATTTCACCAGAATGCTCAAGTACGTCTGCTTGACACCAGTGATCGAGTTGTCAAATAATTTCGATACGGTAACTGTCCTGACAACCGAAACCGATAGCCCCACGATTAGGACTTATGAGACAAGTCAAAATCGCCGATCTCAGTAAGCTCGGCGTTACTTCAGATTATTGACGAGTAGTTGAGGAATTGGTTAGGTTCAAGTCAAACACCACTCACATCCGCGTTCAGACTATTACTAGCAAACGAGAGAGGTCATCGGTTTCAATGTAACAATTCGGTCTTGGCTGGTATGAAATGAATGGCTCAGTGGTTTGGAACTCCGACCAGAGTTTCATGAGGGAACCGTGTTGACCACTACACCTTTGACCCCACACCAGGCACGACAGAATTATCATATGTGAATGCTCAACCACTCTCGTTTGTGAGTGCTGATCCGGTTGCTGGTTCGTCATGGTAGGGGATACAGTTACAGTCTGTTAACTTCACCCGATAGCCTCAAGATTGCATCTTTCAAGATAGGTCAAAATCCCCGGTCCCATTGAACCTGCTACGCGATGTTTTAGATTGCTGTTATGTAGCCGGGGATTTGGCTAATTTCAAGTTGAACATCGCTTACATCTGATTACAGCTCTCGCATTTCCATAGATTTCCTGGTTGGCATTTTCCGAAAAGAAGTACTAGACTCGAGTTTCGCCCTCATTAGAGCACGTCACTAGTGCACATCCTTCTCACCGCCGGGACCAGAAATTCGACCACGCTTTGATGGCTCAATCGTGCTGACCATCGCGCCATTGACCTCACACTAGGCACGACCGAATTATCATATGTGAGCGTTTGAGCGCTTTCTTACGTGAGTAAGGACTGAATTACCCCATCGCCCTGAGAATATTAATGAGTATTACTGTGTATTATGCGAGCAGTACTCGCAAGCGAATGTAGGTGACCTTTTACGTATGATGATTCAATCCTGTCTAATGCGGATTCACTGATGCAGTGGTCAACACCGTTGCCTCATGAAAGCGTGACCGGTGTTCTAGTTCCGGCCATGGCGAACATATACGCCACCGACGAGCTCTTCTAGCAAGAGCGACACTCGAGTGTAGTGCAACATTTTGAACGGAGCCTACTGGAAAATCTGCGGGAATGCGACGGCTGTGACCAATTTATATGAATATAACTGTTTATGGGCATCTAAATTTTGTGCTACCTTAACACCATGAAGCTATATTTCTGAGTTTATTGATACGATGGAATTGGTTAGAATGAACAACTATGTGAGATGTAAAAGTTGTGATCAACTGGCACTACTGCGGGGGTGTTTGGTAATTGTGATTTTTCTACGTAAACCTCATCAACTATTTTTCAGTTTACACATTTAGATAAACAGTTTAGTGGGCTGAGTTTGAACGAAAATGTTTCACGTATATCATTAAGGCTAGTCATCAAGGCACAATTTTCTAAGTTGTCGTTATGAAAAACATTTGTCAAATATGTGACATGATTGCTTCGATCATTATCTAATTGGTCTCATCTTAGCTGTGGCCAAGTTATCATAATTAGTTGTCAAAATACAGCTACCTGAGGATTAAACCAGTTGTATTCGAGACGTTTTTAATTCACAAAAGAAATGCCACTCTTAACTCAGGCATAAATGACCAAAGCCACTACATCTACAATGTAATACATATGGTTGCAGCTAAGCGAGCCGATGAAACAGCTTGCTGTTCTGCACCCGTAGTTATCCTGTCCGTGTAGGTTACAACATTCGGCTTTTCAACCAGACGGATAACACATTCGTGAAGGCACAAGCAAATTATTTGTAACACGAACCTATGATAAACATTACGCCCAATAAAACTGATCAACATGGGCCATGAAAGTGCGAAGCGATCAACAGTAAACCATAACAAGCACCAAATCGGATTAACTTGACATACGACTGGTGTTGTCGATTCATCAAAATCATCGACACCCTCCGAATTCGGGAATCCAGTGACAATTCTTCATCCAAGGTTGTTGTACGCTTTGCCGCCAATTGACCATAGTGCTGGGCTATGGGAACCTTGAGCGAATTGTCCACCGTCAACTCATTTGGTTTTGTTTTTGGGAATGGGGAAGTATTGTCAGAGATAGGCTTACTCAAATGCTTGTCGATCGCCTTCGTGGTGACTGATTGATTAGGAGTCTAATGGACAAAAATAAGGAAATATCGTAAAACAGAGTAAACGCAATATGTTCAGATGCTGATCTAATTTGATACACATATGGTCACATTCATTTACATGTTTACTCACACAACAGTCTGTGACCCAGAATCCCACAGCCTAAAGTTGTATTTGACCGTGAAGTTGAAACAGAAAAAGGGACATGCTTGACAACTGAAACTAAAGTAAGCACATTGATTGGTGGTGGTAATTTGCTTTGAATTTACTATAGAAATTTATTATAGAAAGGCGTTGATTATTTTGTCTAGTATGTCTGGTCGGCCACAGTTGAGAAAAAATGGAATTATTCGCTGTTTGTCCTAGTAATGAAAGGGGACAGGTTTTTCTATCCAACCGCAGGTTGTCCACTCGACTTTGGCCCGAGATTATTCTCTTCATTCAGTTTACACCGTTTTTCTTTACGTTTTAGCCCTAATTTTTTTCAATCGTCAGCGTCTATTTAACATGCTAATATTTTGTTTTGTTTGCCATCTGACGGGAACAATCCGTAAATTTGGATTTAACTAATTATCAGTCGAAGGCAATGGTTACTTTACTAGACCACGGAGGTTAGCGTGAGTCCATATTATACATAGAGACAGTCAGGCATTTTACTGTAAAATCCCACACTAACCCGAAGCATTACACACATGTTGACTTTCCATTTTGGTTTATGTGACACGTATAATGCAACGAAACCGCTAGTTACAAGCAGACCATATAATTGCTGATTGCCTTGGGAGTCACAAACCGCTTGGTTGATAATTAACTTACTCAAGCCACTAGTTCGATTCATGCTGTTGCCTGAAGACTGTCATAGAATTCGGAAAGTACTTTTGTGTAGTTTGTTCGCTTATTAAATAATGTGAGTGAATTGGATGCGGAAAACAAATCATGTTGTTATCGTCTCTTCAGATAACTTGAAACTCACTACTGAGTAATTTATACAAAATTATCAACCAATAGATTTTAGATAACCCTATACTGGAACTGGTGGTTGGTCAACTGCAAGATTGTATCCGTAACGTCTTTGGTGCATCTTCTGAAAGACATCCCGCGAAAAACTATAGGCTGCATGGATTTAAAATAATGTCCTCGTCTTTTGTGTAACACTTTCTCGAAATGTCAGTTTATTACATTCTCGATAGCATTATGTGTGACTGTTCAAATTTGGCCTGCACCGGATACTGTGGGGAGGGAAAAGAGAAGCCTCACGTTTAATTGGAAATATTTTCACTAACAGTTTACAGGCAGTCTAACTTTGTACAATGCAGTTAACCATAAACTAGCTCAATGGCGCCGTCCACTTTGCGCTAACTATATTTTTAAAGGGTAAACCACCACCCGTGATGGGACCTGAGAACCATCGTTACAACTCGCAGTAGTCTGTCTCCC